AAGATATTGAAAATCCGGCATCATGATATTGTAACGAATCTCACTATCCAGTCTCTTTGCAAACTGCACCACACGACACCACCAACTTGACAACTCAGGGCTCCAAAATAATGTAATTGTTTAATGTCAAATAAATCACAGCCAATACTGTACAATTGGCAACACGTAACACAGACTGTACAAATATCTTCACTCTCCGACGTATCAACTCTGTATCAGCTCTACGCCTCCTCCTAGACTTGCACTTGGTTCAACTGTTTCCTCCCTCTTTTTTTTTCGTAGGGTAACTCTAGTTTGTCCGGCTTGCAGAAATAAAAGAGTGATCATTCCTTTACTTCTTTTTGCGTGTCCAAGCTCTTGAGCCATGAAGATAATTATTTATATATATTTTAGACCTTTCAAAGTTCTGCTGCAACGGCTACTTTTTTTCTTTTCTGAAATGAAAAATTTAATTTTTAAAATCAACTATGCAAGCAGTTTTTTCATAAAAATACTCATTTTTACGGTTCCACGACAATTCATTCACTGACATTTTTCTTCACCGAGAAATCGTTCACGACTTTTTGTTCCCCCGACATTTCGTTAACCCGACAATTCGTTCAGTGACTATTCGTTCACCAACATATTGTTCACAGACAAATCGTTCATTGGATTATAGTATATATTATAATTATATTTTAGCCTAAAAACTGACCGCTGTTTGGCGCATAAAGTTTCTCTGTTCTTCCACGAAATGCGCAGTTTGCAAGATACTGAACGATCGCTAGATCTCTTGCTAAAACTGCATGCCACTCCAGTTTCCTTTATATTTTTTTTTCAAGTTATACATTGCGCTAGCATTGGACATTATCGGAGCTTAATCCAACTACGCTGAGACATAAGTATGGATGGCTGCTTGGCCGTTCGGAATGCGCGCTGGACTGTTGTTCGGTTGTCTTGATGGTCCCGGGTTTATACCCTGCCGATTGGCCTCCAGTAGCTATCGTGCTAAACAACTTACTAGGAAATAAAGTACTGTCTTTGGTATAAATAAAAAGTGTACGATAGGAGCTACAGTGGTTCATTGACTTTCGCAGATCCGACTTTTAAATGAAAAAAAATACATCCTAATTTTTTTTTTTATAGACTGAAAAATGGGTTTCACAAGGCCACCCGATGTGTATGCACAGTATCTTATAGGGGAAAAAATGAATACGTCATCAAACTTTTTGGATGCTGATTGGCCGCATTAACTATACGAGCTAGGCCACAATACAAAACAAGGAATCCTTTTCACACACACCCCGTGCCGTTTACTCTATATATGTATATATATATATATATATATGTACCGATTCTTTTTATACTGTAATACAACAAAATAGTAGGCTACTGGATGAGTCTTTATTCACGAAATATACTTTTTTGATTGGTTGTTTCCGAGTTTTTTTTATGCCAAGGTGAAATGTTAAACGGTACTGCCGCTTAAAAAGTACAGGTCATAAGATAATATCTTTATACTGAAACTGAATGGTATTTAAAAAACAAAAATGTCGAGTTAAGAGTTTACATGGTTATTGATATCATATAGATACCAGAAAATATTGACAAGTCCTAATTTCTGACAACTAGTCGGGTTTTCGAACAATGCGGTGATAAGGGAATCTACTCTTGCTGGGCCTGGAGTGGTTATCCCAATTGCAGCACGCTAAGGCCGCAACTGTCTGTAGCATTTTACGTCTCGAAAGATAATCTTTTCCCTTTGCAAATTCTTGTGAGACTAAAGATGCTAATCGTTTATGCACAGCTACGATCAGAGGTTGTTCGTATGTAATCATCAGGCGACGTTGCATTTTCACCCTTCTTTTTACTTTCCTGCCATTTATTATATCACCATACTTAATAATTTGTGGAAGTCAACCTTGTGGCAATATGTGACGTATAATAAATGACAATAAAAAAAGCAATGTCGACCATAGCCAAGAGAAGTATTACTATTTTTTAAAAAATATATTGAAACAATGTCGAAAGATTATTAAACAAATTTCAACAAAAAAGTGTCTACAACACGTGGTGTTCCCAAGTGGTCACCCATCTAAGTACTAACCACGCCCGGCGATGCTTGACTTCGGTGATCGGACGAGAACCAGTATTTTCAACGTGGTATGGCCGTAGACATACGTATATATATAACTTATGTTAAAATAGTTTCAATATAATGTACAGTTGGTTTAGAAAATGTTATCTAACATAACCAGGATGAAGCCGTCAGTCACATTGCACTTTCATTGGTTCTTTCGTTAAAACAAAATACAATGATCTAATTTCTATGATTTTGTTGTCTTCTACTAAATAAGGTTTATAAATGTTTAAAGTCTTGAACTAGAATGCAATCATATTTCTTAGAAAGGCTGCTAACAAATTGTTAAAGTAAGTGATTCAAAAAGGGTTAAAACATTTAAACATACATTTTGTTTTGAAAATACATTCCAAAACAAACAAAAAAGATTTTTTCTCAACATGTCAAAGCCAAATTATGCCTGTATTTAATCTTTTCTTCTTCGACCAATGCCAAGAGAAGTATTACTATTTTTTAAAAAATATATTGAAACAATATCGAAAGATTATTAAACAAATTTCAACAAAAAAGTGTCTACAATACGTGGTGCTCCAAAGTGGTCACCCATCTAATTACTAACCACGCCCGACGTTGCTTGACTTCGGTGATCGGACAAGAACCGGTATTTTCAACGTGGTATGGCCGTTGACATACGTACATATTTAATTTATGTTTAAATAGTTTCAATATAATGTACAGTTGGTTTAGAAAATGTTATCTAACATAACCAGGATGAAGCCGTCAGTCACACTGCACTTTCATTGGTTCTTTCGTTAAAACAAAATACAATGATCTAAGTTCTAAGATTTTTTTGTCTTCTACTAAATAAGGTTTATAAATGTTTAAAGTCTTGAAAAAAAATATAATCATATTTGTTACAAAGGCTGCTAACAAATTGTTAAAGTATGTGATTCAAACAGGGTTATATTTTTTAAAGTTACATTTTGTTTTGATAGTACATTCCAAAACAAACAAAAAAGATTTTTTTCTCAACATGTCAAAGCCAAATTATGCCTGTATTTAATCTTTTCTTCTTCGACCAATGCCAAGAGAAGTATTACTATTTTTTAAAAAATATATTGAAACAATATCGAAAGATTATTAAACAAATTTCAACAAAAAAGTGTCTACAATACGTGGTGCTCCAAAGCGGTCACCCATCTAATTACTAACCACGCCCGACGTTGCTTGACTTCGGTGATCGGACAAGAACCGGTATTTTCAACGTGGTATGGCCGTTGACATACGTACATATTTAATTTATGTTTAAATAGTTTCAATATAATGTACAGTTGGTTTAGAAAATGTTATCTAACATAACCAGGATGAAGCCGTCAGTCACAATGCACTTTCATTGGTTCTTTCGTTAAAACAAAATACAATGATCTAAGTTCTAAGATTTTTTTGTCTTCTACTAAATAAGGTTTATAAATGTTTAAAGTCTTGAAAAAAAATATAATCATATTTGTTACAAAGGCTGCTAACAAATTGTTAAAGTATGTGATTCAAACAGGGTTATATTTTTTAAAGTTACATTTTGTTTTGATAGTACATTCCAAAACAAACAAAAAAGATTTTTTTCTCAACATGTCAAAGCCAAATTATGCCTGTATTTAATTTTTTCTTCGACCAATGCCAATAGAAGTGTTACTATTTTAAAAAAAATATATTGAAACAATATCGAAAGATTATCAAACAAATTTCAACAAAAAAAGTGTCTACAACACGTGGTGTTCCCAAGTGGTCACCCATCTAAGTACTAACCACGCCCGACGTTGCTTGAATTCGGTGATTGGAGGAGAACCGGTATTTTCAACGTGGTATGGCCGTAGACATATGTACTTATCTAATTTATGTTTAAATAGTTTCAATATAATGTACAGTTGGTTTAGAAAATGTTATCTAACATAACCAGGATGAAGCCGTCAGTCACGCTGCACTTTCATTGTTCTTTCGTTAAAACAAAATACAATGATCTAATTTCTATAATTTTGTTTTCTTCTACTAAATAAATTTTATAAATCTTTAAAGTCTTGAACTAAAATATAATCATATTTCTTATAAAGGCTGCTAACAAATTGTTAAAGTAAGTGATTCAAAAAAAGTTAAAACATTTAAATATACATTTTGTTTTGAAAATACATTCCAAAACAAACAAAAAAGATTTTTTCTCAACATGTCAAAGCCAAATTATGCCTGTATTTAATCTTTTCTTCTTCGACCAATGCAAAGAGAAGTATTACTATTTTTTTAAAAATATATTGAAACAATATCGAAAGATTATTAAACAAATTTCAACAAAAAAGTGTCTACAACACGTGGTGCTCCAAAGCGGTCACCCATCTAATTACTAACCACGCCCTACGTTGCTTGACTTCGGTGATCGGACAAGAACCGGTATTTTCAACGTGGTATGGCCGTTGACATACGTACATATTTAATTTATGTTTAAATAGTTTCAATATAATGTACAGTTGGTTTAGAAAATGTTATCTAACATAACCAGGATGAAGCCGTCAGTCACACTGCACTTTCATTGGTTCTTTCGTTAAAACAAAATACAATGATCTGATTTCTATGATTTTGTTGTCTTCTACTAAAGAAAGATTATAAATCTTTAAAGACTTGAAATAAAATATAATCATATTTCTTACAAAGGCTGCTAAGAATTTTTAAAGTAAGTGATTCAAAATGGGGTTAAAACATTTAAACATACATTTTGTTTTGAAAATACATTCCAAAACAAACAAAAAAGATTTTTTTCTCAACATGTCAAAGCCAAATTATGCCTGTATTTTATCTTTTCTTCTTCGACCAATGCCAAGAGAAGTATTACTATTTTTTAAAAAATATATTGAAACAATATCGAAAGATTATTAAACAAATTTCAACAAAAAAGTGTCTACAACACGTGGTGCTCCAAAGCGGTCACCCATCTAAATACTAGCAACGCCCGACGTTGCTTAACTTCGGTGATCGGACGAGAACCGGTATTTTCAACGTGGTATGGCCGTAGACATACGTACATATCTAATTTATGTTTAAATAGTTTCAATATAATGTACAGTTGGTTTAGAAAATGTTATCTAACATAACCAGGATGAAGCCGTCAGTCACACTGCACTTTTATTGGTTCTTTCGTTAAAACAAAATACAATGATCTAATTTCTATGATTTTTTTGTCTTCTACTAAATAAGGTTTATAAATGTTTAAAGTCTTAAACTAAAATATAATCATATTTGTTACAAACGCTGCTAACAAATTGTTAAAGTATGTGATTCAAACAGGGTTATATTATTTAAAGTTACATTTTTTTTTCAAAGTACATTCCAAAACAAACAAAAAAAGATTTTTTTCTCAACATGTCAAAGCCAAATTATGCCTTTATTTAATTTTTTCTTCGACCAATGCCAACAGAAGGGTTACTATTTTAAAGAAAAATATTTTGAAACAATATCGAAAGATTATCAAACAAATTTCAACAAAAAAAGTGTCTACAACACGTGGTGTTCCCAAGTGGAACTACAATTTTAATTACTAACCACGCCCGACGTTGCTTGACTTCGGTGATCGGACGAGAACCGGTATTTTCAACGTGGTATGGCCGTAGACATATGTACATATCTAATTTATGTTTAAATAGTTTCAATATAATGTACAGTTGGTTTAGAAAATGTTATCTAACATAACCAGGATAAAGCCGTCAGTCACACTGCACTTTTATTGGTTCTTTCGTTATAACAAAATACAATGATCTAAGTTCTATGATTTTTTTGTCTTCTACTAAATAAGGTTTATAAATGTTTAAAGTCTTGAACTAAATAATGATCATATTTGTTACAAAGGCTGCTAACAAATTGTTAAAGTATGTGATTCAAACAGGGTTATATTTTTTAAAGTTACATTTTTTTTTCAAAGTACATTCCAAAACAAACAAAAAAAGATTTTTTTCTCAACATGTCAAAGCCAAATTATGCCTGTACTCAATTTTTTATTCGACCAATGCCAATAGAAGTGTTAATATTTTTTTAAAAATATATTGAAACAATGTCGAAAGATTATTAAACAAATTTCAACAAAAAAGTGTCTAGAACACGTGGTGTTCCCAAGTGGTCACCCATCTAAGTATTAACCACGCCCGACGATGCTTGACTTCGGTGATCGGACGAGAACCGGTATTTTCAACTTGGTATGGCCGTAGACATACGTATATATATAACTTATGTTAAAATAGTTTCAATATAATTTACAGTTGGTTTAGAAAATGTTATCTAACATAACCAGGATGAAGCCGTCAATCACACTGCACTTTCTTTGGTTCATTCGTTAAAACAAAATACAATGATCTAATTTCTATGATTTTTTTGTCTTCTACTAAATAAGGTTTATAAATGTTTAAAGTCTTGAACTAAATAATGATCATATTTGTTACAAAGGCTGCTAACAAATTGTTAAAGTATGTGATTCAAACAGGGTTATATTTTTTAAAGTTACATTTTTTTTTCAAATTACATTCCAAAACAAACAAAAAAGATTTTTTTCTCAACATGTCAAAGCCAAATTATGCCTGTATTTAATTTTTTCTTCGACCAATGCCAATAGAAGTGTTACTATTTTAAAAAAAATATATTGAAACAATATCGAAAGATTATCAAACAAATTTCAACAAAAAAAGTGTCTACAACACGTGGTGTTCCCAAGTGGTCACCCATCTAAGTACTAACCACGCCCGACGTTGCTTGACTTCGGTGATCGGACGAGAACCGGTATTTTCAACGTGGTATGGCCGTAGACATAAGTACATATCTAATTTATGTTTAAATAGTTTCAATATTATGTACAGTTGGTTTAGAAAATGTTACCTAACATAACCAGGATGAAGCCGTCAGTCACACTGCACTTTCATTGGTTCTTTCGTTATATCAAAATACAATGATCTAAGTTCTAAGATTTTTTTTTCTTCTACTAAATAAGGTTTATAAATAATAAAAGTCTTGAACTAAAATGTAATCATATTTCTTACAAAGGCTGCTAACAAATTGTTAAAGTATGTGATTCAAACAGGGTTATATTTTTTAAAGTTACATTTTTTTTTCAAATTACATTCCAAAACAAACAAAAAAAGATTTTTTTCTCAACATGTCAAGCCAAATTATGCCTTTATTTAATTTTTTCTTCGACCAATGCCAACAGAAGGGTTACTATTTAAAGAAAAATATATTGAAACAATATCGAAAGATTATCAAACAAATTTCAACAAAAAAAGTGTCTACAACACGTGGTGTTCCCAAGTGGTCACCCATCTAAGTACTAACCACGCCCGACGTTGCTTGACTTCGGTGATCGGACGAGAACCGGTATTTTCAACGTGGTATGGCCGTAGACATACGTACATATCTAATTTATGTTTAAATAGTTTCAATATAATGTACAGTTGGTTTAGAAAATGTTATCTAACATAACCAGGATGAAGCCGTCAGTCACACTAAACTTTTATTGGTTCTTTCGTTAAAATAAAATACAATGATCTAAGTTCTAAGATTTTTTTTTCTTCTACTAAATAAGGTTTATAAATAATAAAAGTCTTGAACTAAAATGTAATCATATTTCTTACAAAGGCTGCTAACAAATTGTTAAAGTATGTGATTCAAATAGGGTTATATTTTTAAAGTTACAATTTTTTTTTAAAGTACATTCCAAAACAAACAAAAAAAGATTTTTTTCTCAACATGTCAAAGCCAAATTATGCCTGTATTTAATTTTTTCTTCGACCAATGCCAATAGAAGGGTTACTATTTTAAAGAAAAATATATTGAAACAATATCGAAAGATTATTAAACAAATTTCAACAAAAAAGTGTCTACAACACGTGGTGCTCCAAAGCGGTCACCCATCTAAATACTAGCAACGCCCGACGTTGCTTAACTTCGGTGATCGGACGAGAACCGATATTTTCAACGTGGTATGGCCGTAGAAATACGTACATATCTAATTTATGTTTAAATAGTTTCAATATAATGTACAGTTGGTTTAGAAAATGTTATCTAACATAACCAGGATGAAGCCGTCAGTCACAATGCACTTTCATTGGTTCTTTCGTTATATCAAAATACAATGATCTAAGTTCTAAGATTTTTTTTTCTTCTACTAAATAAGGTTTATAAATAATAAAAGTCTTGAACTAAAATGTAATCATATTTCTTACAAAGGCTGCTAACAAATTGTTAAAGTATGTGATTCAAACAGGGTTATATTTTTTAAAGTTACATTTTTTTTTCAAATTACATTCCAAAACAAACAAAAAAAGATTTTTTTCTCAACATGTCAAGCCAAATTATGCCTTTATTTAATTTTTTCTTCGACCAATGCCAACAGAAGGGTTACTATTTAAAGAAAAATATATTGAAACAATATCGAAAGATTATCAAACAAATTTCAACAAAAAAAGTGTCTACAACACGTGGTGTTCCCAAGTGGTCACCCATCTAAGTACTAACCACGCCCGACGTTGCTTGACTTCGGTGATCGGACGAGAACCGGTATTTTCAACGTGGTATGGCCGTAGACATACGTACATATCTAATTTATGTTTAAATAGTTTCAATATAATGTACAGTTGGTTTAGAAAATGTTATCTAACATAACCAGGATGAAGCCGTCAGTCACACTAAACTTTTATTGGTTCTTTCGTTAAAATAAAATACAATGATCTAAGTTCTAAGATTTTTTTTTCTTCTACTAAATAAGGTTTATAAATAATAAAAGTCTTGAACTAAAATGTAATCATATTTCTTACAAAGGCTGCTAACAAATTGTTAAAGTATGTGATTCAAATAGGGTTATATTTTTAAAGTTACAATTTTTTTTTAAAGTACATTCCAAAACAAACAAAAAAAGATTTTTTTCTCAACATGTCAAAGCCAAATTATGCCTGTATTTAATTTTTTCTTCGACCAATGCCAATAGAAGGGTTACTATTTTAAAGAAAAATATATTGAAACAATATCGAAAGATTATTAAACAAATTTCAACAAAAAAGTGTCTACAACACGTGGTGCTCCAAAGCGGTCACCCATCTAAATACTAGCAACGCCCGACGTTGCTTAACTTCGGTGATCGGACGAGAACCGATATTTTCAACGTGGTATGGCCGTAGAAATACGTACATATCTAATTTATGTTTAAATAGTTTCAATATAATGTACAGTTGGTTTAGAAAATGTTATCTAACATAACCAGGATGAAGCCGTCAGTCACAATGCACTTTCATTGGTTCTTTCGTTATAACAAAATACAATGATCTAAGTTCTAAGATTTTTTTTTCTTCTACTAAATAAGGTTTATAAATAATAAAAGTCTTGAACTAAAATGTAATCATATTTCTTACAAAGGCTGCTAACAAATTGTTAAAGTATGTGATTCAAATAGGGTTATATTTTTAAAGTTACAATTTTTTTTTAAAGTACATTCCAAAACAAACAAAAAAAGATTTTTTTCTCAACATGTCAAAGCCAAATTATGCCTGTATTTTATTTTTTCTTCTTTGACCATAGAGAAGAGAAGTATTACTATTTTTTAAAAAATATATTGAAACAATATCGAAAGATTATTAAACAAATTTCAACAAAAAAGTGTCTACAACACGTGGTGCTCCAAAGCGGTGACCCATCTAATTACTAACCACGCCCGACGTTGCTTGACTTCGGTGATCGGACGAGAACCGGTATTTTCAACGTGGTATGGCCGTAGACATACGTACATATCTAATTTATGTTTAAATAGTTTCAATATAATGTACAGTTGGTTTAGAAAATGTTATCTAACATAACCAGGATGAAGCCGTCAGTCACACTGCACTTTCATTGGTTCTTTCGTTATATCAAAATACAATGATCTAAGTTCTAAGATTTTTTTTTCTTCTACTAAATAAGGTTTATAAATAATAAAAGTCTTGAACTAAAATGTAATCATATTTCTTACAAAGGCTGCTAACAAATTGTTAAAGTATGTGATTCAAACAGGGTTATATTTTTTAAAGTTACATTTTTTTTTCAAATTACATTCCAAAACAAACAAAAAAAGATTTTTTTCTCAACATGTCAAGCCAAATTATGCCTTTATTTAATTTTTTCTTCGACCAATGCCAACAGAAGGGTTACTATTTAAAGAAAAATATATTGAAACAATATCGAAAGATTATCAAACAAATTTCAACAAAAAAAGTGTCTACAACACGTGGTGTTCCCAAGTGGTCACCCATCTAAGTACTAACCACGCCCGACGTTGCTTGACTTCGGTGATCGGACGAGAACCGGTATTTTCAACGTGGTATGGCCGTAGACATACGTACATATCTAATTTATGTTTAAATAGTTTCAATATAATGTACAGTTGGTTTAGAAAATGTTATCTAACATAACCAGGATGAAGCCGTCAGTCACACTAAACTTTTATTGGTTCTTTCGTTAAAATAAAATACAATGATCTAAGTTCTAAGATTTTTTTTTCTTCTACTAAATAAGGTTTATAAATAATAAAAGTCTTGAACTAAAATGTAATCATATTTCTTACAAAGGCTGCTAACAAATTGTTAAAGTATGTGATTCAAAT